CGTGCTTTATATTCATCCGTCTTCACAACAAACTTTCAGACTCGGCAGCGTACTCGAAATATACATCCATACAGCCACAAGTCCGTCGCTCCGGCCTGACGCATGTCGCCGCCCACACAGTGCAGTTCCGGCTGACGCAACAGCGCTGTGCGTGGGATCCACCAACGCCGACTGATTGGTGGAGCGGCTGATGACGTCACTATTCCCACTCCAACAGACTAACACCACGGAGAAGCCGAGCATGGTGCTCCAGCTGATGGGCGGTCACGTGGAAGCCATGGACTCGTCCGTGGTGGGCGTCGACGACGGGGTGAGTTCCCGTGTCACGGAACACCCCCCCAGCCGATGGAATGGAGAGGCATGATGGGGATGGTGCTGGAGGGACTCGACGCCGCCGGTTGGAATCAAGGAATGCGGATTGAGAGCATGGTTTGTGTAACAACCAGAGATCAGTTTCAGATGGTTGCGTTGTTTTCTACCGGGTGGTTCACACGCCCGATCGGCGCTGACATGCATTTTTTAGGTCCGTACACTCGCGCACGCAGAATAACGGGACAACGGCGATTTATAAAAGGGCATGCCCTGAATGCGTTCGAGGCGAGCCTTGCATGTACGTAACTTTATTTTGTGTGACATCAATTAACCCGGTGGATGAAATGTATGTCAGTGACTCTTTGACGCGGTGTGAAGGTTGTTGACGTTCCCGATGAACCTGGTGTTTGGCTTTGGTTGTCTGTCCCATTGACATTGCTAATCGCACCGCTTACAACTGTCTGTCGTTTTCTTAAATATGAGCGAGGTCGTTTCCACACATAAATCTGATTTAATGTGCGGGGCGTAGCCAGGCTGACGAGGTGCCGTGCCTTTCCACTGTCTAAATGACCTCTGGGAGGCACATGCGAACACTTTTGGGCGCGCACACTTCTTGAACCAATTATATTTGGGTTAGCGTGCATGTAAGGATTGGGAATGGCTACCACAATAACAGCCGAGGCTACGCCCTGTCCTTGACGCGACACACGCGTGTTAACGATGTCCATCGCTCTAATCCTCCATCTGTTTCTTCTTCGTCTGGTGGAAGGTGCCTCAAACGGTCCCCATGCTGGGGCTGGATTGATGGGGTGAGTGAAACGCCTCTCGCGACGGCGCAAGGACAATGTTTTGCTTTGCAGATCTGAGTTGCTTGTATTTTTTGGGCGAAGTATGTAACAAAGCTCAAATTAGCCAATGCTCAACGGTAGTGTTTAACTTGTTTGCTTCAATTCATGTTTCGTTGCGCATGGTCACAAACTTAGCATATCCCCGGGGGGCTGCTGGTTGGGATCTCCCAGCCCTTAACTCAGCGGTGTGGTTTTACGAAATGAGTGGAGGGGCCGAACAGTGAAGATGACTTAATGTACGCCCCAATGCACCAACCAATGAGTTTTCTACCGAGACTCGGTCCACCGTTCTTTTCAAAGTTGGGAGGGGTAGCTAGAGCCCAACTTGGAGGAGTAGGTCAGAGCCTCCCACTCCCGCCAGCTGAATGGGAAACTACATCTGTGCCCTGACTGCCTCCCCTTGCGAGCATTCGCTCCAACGCTGCCACTCGTCCTCATCCGACTGCCCCGGCCGCTGCCACTCGTCCTCATCCGACTGCCCCGGCCGCTTGCCACTCGTCCTCATCCGACTGCCCCGGCCGCTGGCCGTCGTCCTCATCCGACTGCCTCGGCCGCCGCCTCTCGTCCTCCATCCGACTGCCCGGCCGCCGCCTCTCGTCCTCATCCGACTGCCCCGGCCGCTGCCGCTCGTCCTCATCCGACTGCCCGGCCGCTGCCGCTCGTCCTCATCCGACTGCCCCCGGCCGCTGCCGCTCGTCCTCATCCGACTGCCCGGCCGCTTCTGCTCGTCCCCATCCGACTGCCCCGGCCGCTGCCGTTCGTCCTCATCCGACTGCCCCGGCCGCTGCCGCTCGTCCTCAATCTGACTGCCCCGGCCGCCGCCTCTCAGTCCTGCTTCTGCCGTGTGAGCCGCCCCTCACCGCCGGCGCCCGCCGCCCGTCGCCCGCAGAAAGGGCCGCTACGTGGTGGTGCGCTGCAGCAGCCGGCAGGAGGCGGAGCGCTGGACGCGCCGAGCTCCTCTCACACACGGTCGAGACTACAACGCCACCTACGTGCAGCCGGTGGCAGTGCCGGCCAGCGTGGCGCCGGCGCGCCGCTGCGTGGTCATCGACCTGGGCAGCTCGTCATTTCGCGCCGGCGTGCTGCACGATCAGCGTGAGTGCGAGCTGTCACCGGAGGACGGAGAGCGCACAGGGAGTGGCGCTGTGGCGCGCCGGGGACGGGGCGGGGGTGGGTGGGGTTTGTCGCGTTGAAGCCAGTTTTTTGTTGTGCTATTCAGATACAACGTGTGTCACTGGGGCTTTACGACGCACTCAGCTGCTCAGGCTTTATGGCGTCGCCCTGTCTCTCACCTTGCAGAAAGGGCGGGCACCGCGGGGAATCGAACCCCGTATCTCTGGTTTCCCACACACGCAGTGGTTGACGCAGACGCGCAAACAACTACACTGCCGGCACCCCTGTTCAAATACGAGGCGTGAATTAGACCGCTGCTGACGTTTCAAACGCCTGACAGACAGGCTGGAAGCATGTGCAGTTGTCGCTAGACTGGCATGTAGAACGTCTCACCGCCAACGTCGGCGTGCCGCGTAGCTGGAACGTTGGTCGCTGGTAGCGCCCGCAGCGCCCTCTCACCGGCGCCTCCGTGTCCACAGCCGCACTGCCGCAGCTGTTCTTCCCGGCGGTGATGGTGACGTCACGCGAGGGCCGTCAACTGACGTTCGGCGCGGCGGCGCTGCGGCCCGAGGTGCGCGCCACCGGCGTGCTCTCCTTCCCGCTGCGGCCGTCCAGCAAGATCACCAAGTACTCCGTGGACGTGCCGGCGCTGGCCGGCCTGCTGCAGCTGACGTTCCGCGAGCTGCGCGTCAGCCCGGCCGACTACAGCGTCCAGCTGAGCCTGCCGCGCAGCTTCAACACGGCCACGCTGGGCGAGATCCTGCGCCTGCTCTTCGACAAGTTCGGCGCGCAGGGCGTCAACCTGACGCACCAGAGCATCCTGGCCATGTGGTCGTACAACGCCACGAGTGGCGTGGTCGTCGACGTCGGCGACCGCATGGATGTCGTGCCCGTCATCGACGGTGAGCGGCGGACGGGGAGGCGGCCCGAGCGCTGCGGCCCTCGGCGGGTGGGGAGGAGGCGCGAGCGCCGCGGTCCTCTGAGAACGGCACATCGGAGGTGTCTTAGAGGCGGGCCTGGGACAACTGTTCATCTACGCAACAGTCCATTTTAATCAGCGTGAGCTGGCGCTGCATTTTCCGTACCTCAACGCAGCTGTACTAGCGATACTTTGACAATGACCAGCTCGTTATGCATCCACATGCAATGTATGATATTTGCCCCCGTGATATATTCGTGTTTATCGCATGTTCTATGATGTTATCTATACTCCTCGCATATCACGTTACGAAAAGTGTTTGTCTGAGTGGTCTGCTCGCCTTTACATTGCAGTGCCCCGGCTCGGTAGCATTGGTCCCGCGTCACACCGTGTCCTCGCCGGTCTCCGGCCACTGAACGCCACGCTCTCTGCGGCAGGGTACATCGTGGAGGGCGGCGTGTCGCGCGTGCCGTACGGCGGCGTGCGGATCCAGGACCACCTGCGCCACTTCCTGCTGCAGAAGCACTACTCGCTGGTGACCGAGGTCGAGTCGCTGGTGGTACGGCTGGCCATGGAGCGGCTCTGCTTCGTGTCCGAGCGGTACGCCGCCGACCTGCAGCGCTTCCAGGCCGACCCGGCTAGCCTCGAGAAGTCCGTTTCGGTCAAGGAGTTCCTCGGTGACAGCGTGTCCTGGAGGTGGGTGCCGGCCGCTCGGCTCGACGGCGCCCCCGCGAGGCCCAGCCGGTCTAGTGCGGCTAAGCTTGTGGAATCCGGTGCGATCTGTCGGATCTGGTTGCTATGTGAGACGTGCGCGGAGCCAAGGCGCTGTCGCTGAATTGGGGAAGCTCTGGTCGGTATGTGCTGCTTATGCCGCAGGAAGTTCTCCCATGTCGATTTGGATTACTCACCGCATAGCTGGCATCATCCACGTGTACTAAGCTGCCGGAACCACCTTCCGGTCGCGCCTCTTCTGCTGTTGTCACCATCCCGTGCTCCGACAAACCTGGTGTTAGCCGGGCTGGGGACGGCTATTTCGCCGACGGCGGCGGGTGCGTGAGCGCTGACTGCTGCTTTGCAGGCGGATCACGCTCGACAGCGGCCGGTTCCAGGCCTGCCGAGGGGCTCTTCACGCCCGAGGCTTGGGGCCTGGACAACAAGGGCGTCCACAAGCTCGTCCACAAGGCCGTGCAGGTGCGTAAGTCGGCTGTCGTTCCGGTGCGTGGTCCGCCAGCATGTGCATATGCTGGCGTACATATATATATATATATATATATATATATATATATATATATATATAATTTCCAGCATATGCCAGGCAGCGACCTGCATATGCTTGGAAAATTCGGCGGGAATTCCTTCTTTGAAATGTGTGTTGATGGTTTTACTTCTTTAGTTTTCACAGAGCAAAGGCTCTGTAAATGCGATATCCACGACGATCGCCGTTTAAACGTTTAACAGTCGGCGCAGTCGGTCTTCAACGTTTAACAGTCGGCGCAGTCGGTCTTTAACGTTTAACAGTCGGCGCAGTCGGTCTTTAACGTTCAACAGTCGGCGCGGTCGGTCTTTAACGTTTAACAGTCGGCGCGGTTGGAGTGTTGCTGTGTAGATGCTCCTGGCACTGGAGTGCAATCCGCATGGTTATGGTCTGGCTCCGTGCGAGCTGAGCCAACTGCTTCCGCTGCGGCCCTCAGGAGTGC